CACACGCAAGAATGGTCCCAGTTTGACCACATAGCGATAAACGACAGATGGCGCGGTAGCGTAACAGACGGCCGTTCGTACTGGTCAATTTGTCTGGACTCCGATCACGTACTGATTCGCGCTAAGTTATGCATGCGTTTCGGAGGATCGCTTAGGTGTATGCACTACCGACCGAGCATATAAGCTCTAAAAGACCCTACGACGTTAGCCAAATACCAGTCCCGCCTACCAGCACTGTTTACCAGCTTCTGAGGAGGATCTTAATTCGCCTTAATTTCTGCCAGTGTTGATAGTTGCGTAGTTGCCCATTAATCACCAAAAAGCTGGATCACTACTGTCTCCTTGTCGCTGATGGACAGACGCCTGTTGGTCCCAGCCGATGTCAGCTGTAGTAAAGAACATCGATTCATAGATCGATAATTGCGCGGGAGCTTACAAAAGGACCGTGAAACCAGGTGGTGTGAACTTGCTAGCGAGATGTAACTCGCCAGCCTCTCTGGCGATACCAGAACAGGTAACCATTTTGGCTATAGAATTGAAGACTGGTAGCTCAGGTTGTTCAGACGGTGGTTGAACTGTTCGCTAAGCTTAGCAATTTTGTTGTAAACGTTTCGTCACCACTCGAGCTAACATCATCAGTGCGTAGTTGATTGGCGTGCAGTAGCGTAGAGTACGCTACTCTAACGATTTAGGGACACAGCCTCGGCAAACCTTAGCACCCTGGCTTTTTCGTTTTGGTAGATAACTGTAAAAATTGACCCAGGGTCAACTTGATGACCTGTACTGATTAGGTGTCCAGCAATGGATGATACCGGCAGCTTGCCTGCTGCTCCTCGAGCTCCGCCCTGTGTACCAAAAGCCAACAACTAATATGTTCCTGGCTATCCGTGCTGCATTCAATTCTATAGACACAACTGCATTGTGGCACCGTCTGTTGAGGAATAGCATCCGCGGGAAGTTCGTTTCTGTAGCGCATGCCGTGTATAACATGATCTCCGATAGTTAGGGCCCATGGCAAGCTGTTGCCTTTCGTTGCTATCACCAGTGGAGTTCGACAAGGATGACCTGTCTCCCTATGTCTCCAATTTTGCCATTGAGGATGTTGTCAGAAATGTTCTGGAAGATTCCTTGAGCGCTGACGTTGAGCTCCACCAAGGGAGTCGAGTTATTGACTTGGACTACGCTGATGATATTGTCATGCTTGATGACGGTCCATAGGCCGTCCAACGTGCACTTAACCGCTTGGCAACTGATGCCTCAAAGGAAGAAATGACTTTTTCCCCATCCAAGTGCGAAGCTCTTTTTCCAGACTTCAGGTACCTGCACCTGTACTCACTTAGTGTTGAGACAATGGATGTTATGGAGGGTTTCGTCTATATGTGAAGCTGAATAACTGCCGATGGAGCTGTTGGGGACGAGATTTCGATGCGTATCTCAAGAGCTCGCCTTACTTTCTCTAAACTGAGGCACTTGTGGCGTCGCCGTGACATCCGTCTATCCATCAAAGGGCGGGTTTATTATACGACTGTCCGCGCTGTACAGTTGTACGGTTGTGAGACTTGGCCTGTTCGTATTGTTGACCTGCGCCGTCTCTCTGTCTTCGAACACCGTTGTTTGCGGTACGTTGCCCGTGTGTAGTGGCTGCACAACGTAACCAATGTGGAAGTTGGACAGTGTGTCTTGGGTGTAGGCAGCCAGTCGCTCGAGGAGCTTGTCCCACTACGTCAGCTGCAGTGGCTTGAGCACGTACAGCGCATGCCGGCTCATCGACTTCTGCGTCGGGCGTTGGTCGCGGTTACTGGATCGGGCAGGAGGAGACGGCGCGGTGGACAACGTACAACTTGTAGAAGCCACATCAAAAAGCTGACGAACTAGTTGGACTCGGTCGGTTTTCCTCGACTCCTTGCTTGGTATTTCAGAGATAGTGTCGCTGTTTAGACACACTGGATGTCATGAATCAAGACCGATATCAATGCAAGACATATATCTACGAGTTGCCGTGAGTTCTCTTCCCTTAGTCAATAAAACAGTAAACAATACAAAAATATCCCAAAAACGGTGGATGAAATACCAGAAAAAGTACTTATCTTTCCTATTCCGATCATATTTTCTTGTTCCACCATGGTTTGAAGGACACTATATCTGTACCACAACTCGTGGTATATATATATATATATATATATATATATATATATATATATATATATATATATATATATAATTACCCGGATAGTAACATAATTCTCGTTCCTGTGCAGCACGGATTACGCCAAACCCTATCGTGTACTACTAATCAGTTGATGTCCGGTGCATGTTGGACAGAATCAAGGGATACTGGTGTAGCAGTCGACCCGGCCTACCTGGATTTCTCTAAGTCATTCGATCGTCCTGACTATCGCATTCTAGTGCAAAACATCCAGAATTATGGAATTGGTGATCCCATTCTGGGTTGGATAGGCGACTTCTTTGTTTAATGTCACTTGAATGTGGGGATTCGTACCACGGCATCCGACCAAAACGAAGTCCAGTGCGGTGTACCTCAGGGCTCGGTACTCAGGCCTCGTTTGTTCCTGGTCTTCGTAAATGATCTCGCGACGGTGTTATCTACAAACTACCAACTATTTTCCGATGATCTAAAGATATGGCATGCTATGACTACACTGGAGGACTACACAGCCCATCGAGAACATGCTGAGGTTTAACGCCACCAGGTGCAAAATTCACAGCATACGTCATCAGAATACTCACATCTACGGGCTAGGGCCGCAAATTTTACAGCGGACTTCTGATGAGTGCAATCTCGTGTAAGATGAGGATGTGTAAGATGAGGATGGTTATTTGGGACAGACTGAAAAGACATCAAACAAAAGAAACCAGCACTTCGACATCGATCGTAGAGCGTTCGAGAAGTTTCATGCCTCAGAATTTACGGAAATACTTGGCGCGTATGTGAGGCCGCAAGCGGAATACGTTATTTAAGCGTGGCAACCGGGGCAGAGGCACGACCTCACAGCGCACGATACTGTACAATGCAGAGCGGCGAAGGGTGCGAGAGATTTATCCTACCTTGCCTACCAACTCAGGCTGAACACTTTAAAACTTTATAGCGGAGGCTACCGGCGTCTACGGGGAGATTACATAATGGTGTATCAGATCCTAACAAACTCCAACCACACATGCAACCATCTGTTAAAACTCATCCGAAACGGATCTTTAAGCTGGCCACGCAGTACAGCGAAATGGAATGTCGACGAGGGTCACAGTGCTGGAAAGCCCTGCAGGCGCATGTAATAAATGCCCCCACCCTGTCCTTATTCAAAAAGACGCCTTGACGATACCGTGTCAGATTTACACTATGTGATATAGCCTATGACCATCAGATGCTGGCACTAATGCAGTACAAACAGTGGACGGTGCCATAATCCTCCAAACAATAATACTCACATGTGTGCTACTCCAAATTCCTCAGTGAGTCATGTATATCGCGATTTCTTTTACTGACACTGTTTTTATCTTGTAATTGTCACCCCAAACATCCTACGGGGTATATCAAGGAGTTGCATTTATCCCTGTCACAAACCATTGCTCCACTGTAGGTTGGTGTAGATTAGTTCTTACCATTCGCATTGGAAACTACACAACAGGGTTAGCACTTAGGCGTAAGTTTCCAGAAACAGCTACTGGTTTATCATAAGAGCCATACCACTTCACACGTGAAGTGGATTGTAGCGTGGGCAAGTCCGTGAATCTGACCTCTTCCAAGCTAGTCATAGTGTTACCTAAGCTGGTCGTTGACCTTGCGCGACCTTGTGTCCCAACACTGGAAAGTGTACTTAAGGGCGGAATTTTCGACTCGTCTGCAACAGTTCTGTTTATGAGTAAGATTATTTGTTTTGACCATGCCTGAATGAATGATTAGCATAGAGTACACCAAAGCTAGACTGGTGACGTATGTGTGTAAACCAGCAAATCTTCATCTTATTTAAGGATTTTGTACAAAATAACCGAATCAAAACACACCTCACCGAAATGCTGTCTGGAAATTCACGTGCTTACCAAGTCTGTCAATTGGGCTGCGAGTGAGTGGATACCGACAGAGGGTGTTCTTCGTGAAAGCTAGATCTTAATACAATTGATATGTTAGTGATCTTGAATCATTCTGGTCGGTTGCCGACGTAAGTCCTCTGGTAGACTTGGATTACTGCAATAAGTCATAGGGTTGCTACTGTGACCAGAAATGACTGATCGCTATTTCTTAAGTGCAACGGGCCTGTGGTCTGTGGGTCAGGTTTACGAAGACTGTCGTATGTTATCCTATCACTGGTTAGTTTAGTTGTGCATGACGCTATGGATTGCGAGAGACTTCGCTGGAATGAAAACACCTATTCTGGTTGCTTTCCCTCAACGGATATCCACGGAGTTGGATCCGGAGACGCCTAAATCACAAGGCTACAAACTCATAGACTTCCCCTGTCATAGTGAAAGGTGTTTTTTGGCGACATATAAAAACACAGGAAATGAGACTAAGTAGTTGGGCGGTGCTATCTTGGAACTGTTCACTGACCTACTTCGACTGTTGTATCAGCTGAGCTTCGACTAGCCCTCTCACTTGGTAACAACAATATTGCGATCATTTGAAGTCACCCAAGTCCAGTGGAGAATTCAAAGCAGCAGCCAGTGAGGATGATTTATGGGCAATGTCAGGAGGATCACTATCGATTTGCAAGCCTGAAACATTCGCAACCCAAGTACTAGAGCTGGTGAGCATATGAACACACGATGAAGTTAGTAAAGATGTTCTACGTTGCTCAGCAAGGAGCCAATCGCCAATGTAAGGTTCTAACGAAAACAATTGTAAAGTTTGCATGATCCATATCTATGTAAACCGAACCAAACTGTCGTTTGGCACTGTCATCCTAGTCTGCTGTTCTTGCCGCATGAGAAATATGCAACAATTAATGTTTAAATTCACTCAATTATAGAAGGAACATGACAACTTACTCTGATATGCTTTTTAAAAATAAGGCTGGGGTCGCATGAGAATTGCTTCGGTCAAGGGATTGCATCCATTGACCCTTCTGATGATAGATTGACGTCTATTTCCTCGAAGGCGTCATCATCGAATTCCGGAAACATGGGCTTCAGCATTGATGAATCCACATCACTTTCGCTGTCTTCGTATTCGTCCGGTTTTGCGCTTCCGCCTGCGGAATGAGCAGGACTACTGGCCTGCGAATTTGATTGGTTTTGTGGAAAAATATTGTTATCGCTTCCCATCTTTTTTATCTTGGATGTTCCGGCTAGCTTCCGACGGTAAATTTCGAGTTTGCTCTCCATTTCATGCATTCGGAAGTGAAGGCGAGATTCTAGGCTATATTTCCTGTAGCCACTGAAAAGGGTAAGTAAAACTTGTCGTATAAAATTTGCCTACTTTCTATCAACAGTAATATCAATGTTGCAAAAGTGACGCATGCAGAGGATGGGGTCTGCTAGAATGTCTATTGCTGTGATAGCATATGCAACCAAAAAGCATCCACCCAACGGAATACTGCGGATGCCTCGAATCGCACCACTCATACATCAAAAGTTCACTGTCCAGTGTAAACCTGTTAGTCTGCAACTGTCATATGACCTGCACATACTACCTCAGTAAGCACACGACCCAACTGTGGGTGGATGCGCCTAAAGCTACTCCGAATGTATTTCAAACTGCGCCTGTATCCGAGCTGTGCTCGCTGAACACAGTTAAAGGTCACTGATGGTATATCCGCCAGACTTTATCAACAATAATCATATCTCCATGTGATATGTTTATTTGTAAACCCGCACATTCGATCTCTGCAATTTCTGGATGCCCAGTGGTACATATCAGCTGGCAACGAACCCAACGAGACTCACAAAGACAGGGAATATCTGTGCGTTAGTCTGAAGAGCAACCGCGAAGTCTGGTGGTCTCATCATGCGTCGGAAATGGAAACAGCCACTCTCCTTGATAGCCATCGAGAATTATTTAGCCTGATACCGAAACGGGTATCAAGAGACCTGGCGTCAGCGACACTATACATGGTTAGATTGGACAGCCTAACTATAACCTTTCAGAACGCTTGGAGTGTTGGAGTGAGCATTTTGAAAAGCAGTTTAATCGGTCGGAACTGCCAAATCCGTTGTCGAACAATGGTAGCCTTGTTCTCTGTGCCCTACCTTCGAATCCACCTTGTTGCGCAGAAGTCGAACGTGAGATTGGACTGCTGAAGTAGAAAAAGGCAGCGGGACCTGATGAACTTCCACTACTTCTTCCTCTTCGACTTCATGGAAGCTACTTTTGTGGGTGACATACGATCTATCAATGAAACTGTGTGAGGAATAAACTGCCCCAACCGACTGAAGCTGCTCCGTTATTGTGTGGCTCAGTTTCAGAATGCAGCAATCATAGACGTATCATTCTGATCTCTACCGCCTTTCAGTTACTTGGCTCCGTCGTTTTTCCCAGATTGAATGTCGGCTATCAAAACCAGAGTCGGAAGAAGGATGCGGGGCTTTGTCGTAATTGAGGCCATAATGAACACATCACTTTGCATCGATTGTTTGGACACCTCCACTTGTATTGCTGAGCCAGTGTATCCGTGTTTCACGACATTAATAACGCCTTCGATTCGGTTAATCCATGTACGTCTTTGGATTACTTGGTCAGGAAAGGTGTGCTTGATAAATATGTACATATCAAAAAAACGTCGTACACTCGTATTTGGAGCAGAAGGAGGGGTTATAGCAGACTGTTGCCTCTGTTCGATGTCACTTGTGGTGTGAGACCATAATGCCTGTTATCACATTCCCGTGTTAACTTACGATTGACGATGTCATAGAAATTTCGTTCACTAGACACACTTACTAGGGGGTTCAGCTACTCCTAGGTGGTGGACTTATTGACTTGAAGTATGCCGACGACAATGCCCGAATCTGTGATAGTTCCCAAACGTGCCACGCGGCACTGGACAGATTAGCACCGGATGTCGGCCGCTTTGAGTTGCACTTTGCACTCTCCAAATGCGAAAATGTCCTGAGATTTGCAGGTCTCGCTCTCTGCACTGATTCTTGGTGGAGATCAGCTAGAAGTCGTTCAGAAAGTCAAATACGTGGCCAGCGGTATCAGAGCCTATGGAATAGCAAGTGAGATCACGCACCTTACAGCAAAAGCCCGAGGTGCTGAAAAATCACCAGTAGGAGCATGGGCGCCACATCACTATTGCTCTGAACAGTAAAGTCTACGATGTGTCCGTCCGTTCAGCACTCCTGTGTGCTTGTTAATCCTAGGTTCTCAAATCGACAGACATAAATACGCTAATTAAGTTCGATAAACCGGCGTGCTCGCAGTTTAGCTCATGTCCGGTGGGAACACAACGTGAGCAGTGAGCATGTTCGGCGTCTTGTTTATGGCGTAGGGAAAGGACGTGAAGCGCTCAGTACCACTATTTCACACACCAAGCTCCGATGGCTGGGTCATGTGTTGCGCATACGAACCCACCGACGTGCTCGATGCGCATTATTTCCGTGGCTAGAGTCCGTGTGATAAAAGAGGAAGGGAGGCCATCTGATTACTTGGTCAAGAGAAATGAGAGCTCTTACTGCGAAATTGGTCTCGGTTGGAATCTCTCGACTCCCTGATTGGATTCCAAAAAACGATGAGTACATTTGTCTGGAAACACATGTTGACATAACGAGGAGCCAATCTCAATGGTGTCTGTATTGTGGGTTTTTTCTCCCACTCCATTTCGTTTAGTCTCCCACCATTCTAACCCCGGCCCCGTTAAACAAAGTAACGCATCATAATTAGGCATGTTTTACTCTCATCCTTTTTTGCTTTTGCGGTACAATGACTGGCGTGTTGCTCACCCCTAGGTACTGAGCACAATGATACTGATGATGAACCTAGCGCTATCAAATAATAATTACATCGTCTTTCCTCAGTCCAGTGAGAAATTTCCCATGTCTGGTAGCTGAGATGGAAGGCACCATGTAAATATCCTTAAAAACAAGACTAAACTTGACACTGATGGCGAGCAGATTGAAACATCGCGATGACATGTTAAGTCGCACATGCATTGCTCGCATGTAGCAATCAGGTACAACTGACAAGGCATCCTCAACGTCGCTTGCGAAATGATGATCATATGGGGATTCGACTCAAGCAGCCAGTCGGGTAACATGGAAGGATTCAAAAAGGGAAAAGGTTCATTTAATGATACATCACATTATATGCCTTACTTTCTATCCCTTAGAGTGCATGTTGTTCCCCCTACTAGTGTATTCAGCAGAAATATGGATAGCATAGGAGGAAATGTTAAACCTGCTTACTGGGAAAGTGAATAAGCTAAAAAGCACCACGTAGGAAACAAACGACCACTCGCAGTGAGAGACATTAAACTGTACCTCTCAAGCCGCAATGCTATACTCGCAAAAGACCCCTAATATCCCGTGTAATGTGGGTTACGAAGTGCCGCGTACGTAAAAATCAAAATATACGAGCATGTGAGTTAACTGCACCTGTTACTGGGAGACTGTTCATTCATTGTTGGTGCTTAAATCAGAGATACGGTGCACTTAGCGTCCATACTTGGTAACTCCGAACTATCATCTTCACTTTCAAGGCATTCTGACGTTTTGATTCCCACATCCATTCTATTCGGCATTTTTATTGCTGTCACTGGTAGTATTTACAAAAGGCATGGCTACTTAAAATGCTTGTGAGCCAACATAAACTGTTTCTGGCGTTTCTTCATTAAACGTTACCACATCTGCTCCACTAACTTGGGTCACTAGGGTGAACATAGTTGACTAACTGTTAAATCGCTCTTATAGATGCGAAATTGCCTCACATGAAAGCAGTAGCGCATAGATTTTATCAAGCTAAGCACGTTTCCTTACATACTGAACCACGGTGTGCCCGATAAGTTTGGATCTGTCCCCGCAATTCAATCATGACTAGTACCTTACAACAACGCACTTGCGCGCACATAGGAAACACCAGGATCTTTAACTCTTGTCCGGCTATCTAATCTGCATGTCAGCAAAAAGTAGAATAAGATTCATGTCTTCGCACGCGATTGTGTGTCCACGAAACGCAGGCGCAAGTATGTGCGCATTTTCTGTCTAACATAAATTTCCGATTGGATAGCCGGACAAACGTTACAGATGCTGGTGTTTCCTATGTGCGCGAGTGCGTTGCTGATAGGTACAAGTCATGGTTGAATTGCTGGGATAGACCCATAGCTATCGAGCACACCGAGGGTTGTTACAGTTGGAAAAACCGAGGCTTGCAAGTACCGTAGGATGAACACGCTATGAATTTCAAGATAAAGATATACGTGTGAGTGACCCGAAACGCATGCTGACAACGTCATCATGATGTTTAGTTTAATAAATAAGTATGTGCACTTGTCTGAATGTTATGAGGAAGAAGATGAATCCACTGACGGTTTGTGTTACCTCCTCCCCGAAGAAAAGGTGTTATGTCACTAAAATAAATGGTACGTGGTATCTCCAAGCCGCCTTTTGAATAGGGTAGTGTGAAAAAAGAGATAACTTCAGTCAAAAAGCAATCGGGCTGCTCGCACATCATGGAGAAAGAAGACATTTGGTGGGTCCTCGGGTGGGTGCTCTGGAAGCATGTTTGAAATTCTTGAAGTCTTTTTGGTGACAGCCATTAGACGCATATACCGTCCAGCTTACACTCCTATTGCTTTCGGCCTAACTCGGTATCAGAGATAGAGCGAGCCCTTCACAGTCCTAGCCGCCATCCACTGTGCAGTCTCAAATCAAGCAAGATCGCGTTTCTGCCGGGCTTGGAGTGTGTATTCAGTTAGAGGTCTTACATAGACGTTGTGCACTTCCGAAAGAGAGGATGCCAGAATCCTCCGTATTCTCTCCACAGGAGACGGAAGTGTTTGGCTTTCGTCGATGCTCTGTATAGCTGTCTCCAACAGCCAAGAACATCCAGTGCGAGTGTGACGCGATTGTTGCTCCCTGAATCGATACTATTAAGCATTGTACTCGTGTATGCTCAACAGTATGCACCAGGCAGCATTCAACAGAAGCACATGCTGGGTTGATCACTCTCAGAACGTGTCATTATCTCGATAAAGGTTAGATGAAAACATGTTATCTTGATTGCCCGCTGTTAGTTGATATAATCAGTGGGGGTTAAAAATCCTAGATGATCACTCTCCTGGGTTCGTTTGTGAGATCCCGGGTTAAGCGTGACCACAATATTAAACCTTTGATCACCCAACACTGAACTGTTATTGGCTAGACGGGTTGCCCCGTTTTCACGTTCATAAGCCATTGAAAGAGGGAGCTGTCCATTCAAGCCCGGAAGAGCTCGGTGACTATTGGATCTTATAACTTAATGTACAGTGATTCGTAGAGGCAAATGATTATCGTTCCATAGAGAGAGCGTCAACTCTGAGGCCAGTATCGACGGATTTTGTCTAGTCGACCAGAACTGTGGTTCGGATAGTTGTATATAAAGATCATAGATATCTCTGTGCTGTTGCGCAACAATGATGTTGCACAATTACACCGGTTGGTCGAATGTATGCTCGATCTTTGCGATCTTCTAAATACTACTTGACACCCGATATCTACTGACAAAAACCACCGCAAAACAAAACATTTAAGCAGACATTTCAAACAGCGTTGTCTGGTAGGTGGCGTACACTGCCGTTGGAATAGCACACTGTTCACCTCGAACTACCAATATGGATCGAAGTCTCCTATTCTTAGCTAACAATCTGAATTCTACCCTATCGTGGGTTAGTGGACTTTACGTGTTTGATAAAGGCATTCGTCCCCTAATTTCCTTCATATTTGTGGATTGCTCATTCGTTCAAATTTCTGTGGCGGTGTTTGCTTAACCACTGACTTTCGACTTTGTCATGTGTGATGCGCGAGCATTAAACACATGCTTGATGCAGCTGATTTAACACGAGTGGTGCTGGTCGTATCTGCCGTTTGTCGTTATCATATTTAAAACTGGATTTTAACGTCCTGAAGCACTCACCAGTTTGTGTTCGTGTAGTGGAGAGAATGTGTTTGGTCACTAGACGCGCAACTTGATCCCCTGAAATAACTTCAATTTAGCTGAGCCCATTAAACTTAAAGCTCCGGAAATATGGATCAAGCTTTCGGATGTGCGAAACTTCACTTTTTACATTTCACGTAGTATTTAATCAGGAGCCGTCAGAAGGGTGCGGCACTGAATACTGTATATGGGAGCAAGTAGAAATTTAATTATGTACAGCTCCATCCCAATATAATCAAAAATGTTATAAAAATTGCCTGAAATCCGTGATAATCTAATCGTACTTCAAGTTCATATGTAGCATTTTAAAATGTCTGACTTACTGGGTTCACAAAAGCAAGATGTCGTTGCAAGTGTGCAATCGTTCTCTGAACCGAATGGAGGTGAAATGTAAATCCAACAACGTTTTGAACTGTTGTACGGATTTAGCCTCCACGATTTGTTCTGGCAGATTGTTCCAAAAGTGTACCACTCTACGTTCGAAGCACAGAAGTGGGGTAATTGTTTTATACTCAGCATCACAAGGTTGTACCAGTGTCTGCGTGGGTTGCATGGAGTTCGCAAGTGGAACATCGGCGTCAACATGGGGAAGTCACCGAGATGTAATATACGGCAGGTCATGATGAGATTGACTCACATCCGATGATAGGACAAGGTGCAGTGTCCTAGTCTCTCGCACCTGTCTTCGTAGGATGACTATCGTAAAATTGGAATGAGCCTGGTAGCAACGTGTTGGACTTGTTTGATTTTCTGTGCCTCGCCTCGGGTGATTGGTCAGTAGACAGGTGAGCCGTGCTCCACTATTGGTCTTATGATGGAAGAGGTGAGTGGCAATTTTTTCAGACCAAGTACAGAAGTTGCGTTTGATCGCCCAAAACATGCGCAGTCCGCTACGATCTAGTCTGATAGTGTTGTCAACGGACTTCAAATCTCAGCGCGAGAGTACACCTAGGTACTTCACGGAGGGCGTAGAATGTAGCGGTTGGCCGTCGGTGGTGTAAATTCGGCTGTCAGCACCCTTCCCGAGGCTCATCAATATCGACTTGGATGGACTGACCGCAGAAGCAGACTTCCGGAAGTCACATGGATAGGCGGTAGAGGTCTCGCTGAAGTAAGTGGTAATAGTTGGGAGTGCTAATCACTCTCCAAATCTTCAGGTCGTCCGCAAACAGGGCACACGGCGACCAAAGAAGCAGAGACAGATTGTTGACGTGGATTAGGAACAGAGTGGGCCCCAGCACCGTGCTTTGGGTATTCCAGTAGTAGTGAGATACCAGTGTGTTAGATGACCGTCGAGCTGTACCCTCCACTATCGCCCAGAGAAAGCTCTGGAGCCACTGACGCAGTGATCCAACAACATTGCACACTCTCAGCTTGTGAAGGAGGACCTCGTGATTCACCTTATGGAAGGCTTTACTGAAACTGATGTAGATAACGTCGACAAACTTATGCTGACTCACTGCCTGTAACCATTCATGCTTCATCACCAGCAGGTTGGCAGTGCATGAGCGACTTAGCATATCTTTAGATTGGAGCAACTGTACTATTCCCTTATTCACGATCTTCTCGACAACCTTGGCTAAAATTGATGTCAGACAAATGGACCCGTAGTTGACCATTGTGCTGGGGTCTCTGCCTTTTGGAACTAGCTTAAACACTGGGCACTTCCAATCCCTGGGCAGTGAACCTTCGGATAGTGATCTACTGAGGAACTGAACATTTGACACAATGAGCCACAAGTCCTTCCTTATCCCTGCACCCCATGACTATTCTCGCGCTTCTTTACACACCAGGTTATGGACAGCAGAATCACTACTAGAACCCAAGCTGTGGATGTAGCCGGGGAAGCCTTCTCACACCACCGGGAGCTGCAAGCAACCTTTCTTACAATAGTTTCACAACCATCTCTTTGTTTAAAATAACCGTTATGTGAGTTGCATTATGCGCAAACGGTAGTCAAAAAACTAAAGAAGTTTATTAATATTGTCTTCCTGCAACCGGACAGAGAAACGAGTATCTTAATCATGAACAAAGTGGACCACCTCACAAAGACGAACTCCATTCTCTAGGATCAACGAAAATTTCGACTCGACAAAGGCATCAGCAGTACGACAGTACGCAGTACCGACGCTTCGTTGCCAAGCGGCCACCACCAGTAGCGCGAGGGCTGACTATACCGCGACGACGCCCGCCCCTACACAGATTAGAACCGGTGATCTTATGATTACCTGCCAGACGTTTAAACCACCGAAAAACACCTGACATCAATCTGTTCGCTAACATGAGACACGAAGGGAGCACTAAGTCCATTTTTATGACAGTTGTATACAGTTGAACTCTTGAGGCTTATTAATTCAATACAATGGGGCTTCTGATGGAAAGTGTATTTTTTCTTTATTCGAGAGTTCTCCATAGTACTTTCCAAAGCAGATAGTTTTCCACATGCATGAGCATTACTGAACGGAGGTTTTCGAGCATTTGTCGGAGGTGGATTGAAACTGCTGTGTGGATAGCGGTTCGTACCTCTTCCGGTCCAAGTCTTAAAGTGACAAAGACTATCCCGTTTGGTTCATTAGACTATCATTAATCTGTGCAACATTTTGTTGCATTTCTCTTAATCAGTTGATCCACTGCAGGCGTCTCTTCACAAGACTAATAAGTGGCTTGTGAACATCAACTTTTATTTGCCTTAGTGGTGTAATCAACTTGGTGCACTGATTAATGGAAATAACAAACTGATCCACCGTTACCCTTCAAGATGAATTCCCCACTGGCTTGCGCTTTAAGTAAGCGATTCAATCTATTTAGGATGCTGGAGGTGATTCAGTGGAGCGATGAGCGATCAGCATTTTCACTCGGGGTATACTGACAATAAATTTTTTGCATTTCCTTGTAAATGTTTGGAGGAGTGTCCTGAGTATGGTTGAAATGATTCTACTAACCAACCAAGATTTCATTTCGGAATTTTTCACACTAATTAATCATCACGGAGCAGGGACCGATTATCATGTTTGCCTTACTGTGCATTGCTTTATCGGTTTATTGCGACCAGAAGGACAACACTATCATCTTGTATGCACAGTTTTACCATAGCTCACTTGTAGGTAATTTATCCTTCTGTTACTGCTCCACCTCTCATCCACATTCATCTACACATGCGTTTTACTACTCATTTGTTCATTAAGTTACTATGCTCACGCTCACAGCTATTCCCTTCCTTCGTTCATATATCCTTGCAAACCCATGGAATATAGTCCATTGTGCAAGACTCCATTCTTCTTTACATATCGGTCCGACCTGATGCTTATTAGTCCTAGAGCCCCGATTTTACTCCCAATTGAGGAGGGGGGCTGTTCGCACTCTCAGTGAAATCTTTTCGGACTTTAAATAAAAAATGACAAACAACCGTGCTTCTGTGACAAAAACATGGGTAGAAATTGACTTACAAGGCTCTTTCCAAATGTTTTACCGCTTGCTGCATATCGCCCTCATCGAAGGATAATTGGCACAATTCCATTTCACAGAACGGGAGAAGATAGGTGTCAATTTTGATGCTTTTCTTTCTGAAATTGAAAATGGAGTTTGTAAACACTGGATGTTCTTTTATTCATATTGAATGCAATGTCGTGCCTACACCGTTTCAATCGGTTGTAATTGTCATGTGCTGGTTGAGTGTTAAGCATCATGCATCTGAAGAATCGTGTTCCCTCTGGTATACCTAATATATTACCCGATCTTGTTGAAGTGCTCCTTATGAGAATCGAGGTGAACTTTGGTCAGTGGGATCATTGGGGCCGTGGCCGAAGCAAATGAAATTCGATTGTTGCCTGCACAAAAACACTGCACACCAGTGCAGTGATTCCGGGTTGGCAACACCCAATTTCCATCCACCAGATCAGTTGCTTACTGTGTGGGTGTACAAAGATAAACAAAAAGTTCGCGGGTTTGGATGCACATCCGCTGCATGGCACAGCAATACCAGACATCCATCGCTTCCACTTCGCTTTGGGGCCGGACTGTCTCAATGCACTGGTCCACAAAATTTTCTACTACTCACCGTTTGTGACCTCAGTTTGGTGTCACGTCAAAGGATTCCACTGAGCTCATATAGCCATCCTCCTACCATCACGAATAATTTGACGAAGCTTAGCAAGAGAACCACTTATCCATTGAAGTAACATTTAATAAACGGGAGAAGTCGGCTAGTTACTGGCATTCAGAAATTCAGAATTAATAACTTCTAGGACATAAAAAGATTGATAGTGTTTTTGTGTCAGGAACGCAATAATGATTTCGAAGAAAGTGCACTCAGTGTCGTATAGACTTCCGAGAATCAAAAAGACAGTCTAAGCGGTGATCATAAATCTTAGTAAAGAAGGCAGGAGCATTTTGTACGGTTCATTACCATTCGTTGGAACAACGGTATGTTACTGGCAATAAAGAGGATGCGGATGGTGAATAGAAAACAAGAGATAAAATGAAAATCGTCTTTGTACACTGACCACAGTGTTAATACTGAGGCATGCAGAAAGCGCAGAAAGGGTCTTGTAGATGAATTCTGGTTGTGCACAACTTTCCTCGCGTTATATCGTCTGTCGAGACACACGGGCTATATCTGGTAATGTAGGTGGGTTAGGGTAGCGTCAAGGCGCTTTTTAAACAGAGGTAAAGTGGGGGCAGAAACCACTTAATTTGAGAGGGCGTTCCAAGGCTGACACACACACACAGAGAGTAAAAGTTCCATTAACATTCCAGCCGACTGTATTGCGTGGCTAATCTGAACTGGTGGCCCCTCAAGTTCGTGTTGTGGCTCAGTTGTTGTAGGTGGCAGCAGTCATGCTTGGGATTCCTTAGAATCTGGTAGGCCAAAATAAGGTCCAACGTAGGTGCCGATACCGGCCGCTGTATAATTTTTAGGGTCCTCAGTCTAAGTTGATAAGCAAGATTGAACAACCATTTGACGTGCTTCGTGGCTCGTCGCTGTGGAGTCTCGAGCGCTGCAAGGTCTTGCTTGTGCCAGGGCTGCCACGCCTGGATTGCGTATTCCACATGAGGCCGCACTTAGGTGTTAAGCAACTGCAAACACACAAATGGATCAAACTGTCTAAATGGTGGCTTCTTTGCGGTCACTTGCCCGAGTTCGTTGGCTGGCGTCCATCATTTGTTCTCAGATGTCTGAACCAATCCTGGTTTAGTTAGATTGAAGAAACGCTTTGTTCACATCCCGAACTCATCCCTGTCGGTTCATCCGGTGCTTGCGCTTATTGGCTATTCATCTGTCTCCTCTGTCTGCTTCGTCCGCTCGACCTATCAGCTGTCATCATGCGATCGACATTGCGCTTCGAAACTGTGCCACCTGTGGGTAAATCGCATGCCTTTGAACAAAACCAAGATCGTGCCTGACGCGTTAACTGCGCGTCGATACCACTTCGATCCCTGTGGGTGTGGTCTCTTTGTGGTCGTGGTGCTGGTCGGATTTCCCGACCAGTGGACAGCTACCATCCTGCTCAATGGCCCCTATCATGATAGTACCGAGAGGCCACGGACAATTGGAATAGCCACGAAAGCGTAGGGCAGTAACTCACGCACTTCTAGTATCTTTTATTTTCAGCTTCATTGGGTAATGAGTGCAACTGGTTGCCTATCCATTTGCTTCCTTGAAGCCGAACCATCCGATCCAACTGATTTCATGAAGTCAACCCGTGATCTAAACGGAGTCCACTCATGCTACACCCCAGTTTTGAGAAAAGCATGGTCAACTTCCTACGTGAACCGAAATCAAAACTACACCTGTACTGCATGATTTAACACACATCAGTGAGCCAAGGCATAACGCAACCAAACTAACTACACGTGTGGAACTTAATATGAATCTGTTGATAAGGAAACGCAGTGCAGACGAGTTATATAGTAGAGAACCCATGTCTGAATGTTGTAACAGTTCGAACATAGAAATTCCAGCACATCTGCGCACTACCTTCGTGACACCATTCCGATTCTCCGTTCTACTGAGCCCCTGCATCCACAACGTATCGGTGGAGGTGGACTTGTGCGCCACACGTCCTTCGTCCGGTTGATTTGTGCACCATGCGTCCAGTGTCGGCCGTGATTCATGATTTCTCTGATTTCCTTGCGCGGCCCAGCTTCCACACAGAGTGCTCGCAATTCGTGCAGCACAAATCCACTGAGACGCTTGATTTTTCTCGACTCATTCCCTTTTGCTTTCACTTTTTATCTGCGACGTTTGTAATGCATTTGCTTTTACGTTCGTTAATTCCACTTTTCATAGTTTGGATGTAGTGTGACATAAGTGACTAAGTTATGGTGAAAGGTATCGTCTCAAGTTGCGTACACAAAGATACACGTTAAATTTCCCTCCCAGTAACCCTCCTTACATGAGTAGATGCTACCCAATTAAGGAAGTGAGTCCTCCTGGACAATTTAACACAGTGGTTCAGTGCATCCGTGTATATATCATGGTGGTTTATGTGGTGTATCCGGTTAGGCCAACAGAATTTGGCTTATGCGTTTAACAATCTACTTGGCCGCAGTTGACGTATGAAGACCAGCAGTTAACCGAAGTGTTAGGTTTCGCATACCAGTTAAAGCAGCCTAAACGTCGTGCCTTATAGTCCGTTATTGGAATGTGCAGTCTCGCATATGAGCAAGGGCTGAAACGTTTAGGATCATTCCGCGCACAGTATCACCAATCACCAAGCGACCTCATAATGTCCTATTTGATTCTGTACGATCCAAATTATGTGTGCCCCTCGTTACTGTAACTCAGCAGTAATATAAACTTAAGCGGTCAATCCATGAAAGTAGCAGAAAAGTACAAAAGAATGGAGTGCCGCAGAGATTCATTTAGCACTCGCGTATGTCAGTCGTGGACCCCCCTTCTCAAAGCAGTCCTTTCTGGACCGTTGCTAGAGGTTTTTAAAAGACGGCCGAACGACGCACTCAACCACTTGCAATTTGTTACTTAGCCGTTTCTCTCCACTGTCCTCGTGGAATTTACCCTGGATTTATTACCTGTCACATGTAAATGCAGTGAAGCAATGTAAAATGCCGGACTACAGCGAAACAAACAATGAGTCCATTTTGTTAGTTAAAGTATTCACCGTTTTTTATTCACCTTTGTCGATAACCGCACCAGTCCACCATACGAGACGTGATATACTGCTACTCAGTTCGTAAAAGTCATTGTTCACAGTTCAAACGAATTATCCTTTCGTACCGACTATCTAATTCTAACCGCTGTGCATGCAGAGCTCAGTGGTCAGGTGCTCATTGCGACAGCCGCAAGCCACTATGTGCCGAGTTCCTCTCCCAACTCAGGGCATTGTTGCTTGATGAGTCAAAAACAAGGAAAAAACCGTCGGCCACAGGGTACAGGGATGGGAGAGAGCAACACCGTTATCCGTTTTGCACGGTACGATCTCGCACGACAATCCTACAAGTTTAGTAATATAACTCGATCGAGTCACCGATGGGCATTTTAATTGGTCCGCTTAAACATCAGACTGCGAAAACACGTCTAGCAGCACATTTCTTGCCGCACCAAGGCACATGAAGTAGACCCGACGCGTTCTCTCTAATCTCAAACCGTCCAATCGACATGACCGCAAGCGTCCATACGACTGCACGTGCGCTCAGCGTCACACTTGCCACTCTTCCCCTTGGTGTGGCCGCATGTGCAGTGCAGACTGGTCCCCAAACTGCACCGTCTAAGAATAAGACGCAGCCGACCACATGATCCAAAGCACACGAGAAGCTTACTCGGCTACGGTGCGGCCGGACAAGCAAACAGTAACTGCAGCGATCCACAGTATTGGTTCGTCAGCCGTTTCCTTTTTGTGCTATCGTTCAGCTGCCTGGCGATGTTCCCGTACTCAGCCATTCTGGCAGGTCGTTTTGCACAGCGCATGAGCTGTGGCGGAATTAGCAGTGCACGCATGCGCAGTTGGCCTATCGTGTATGCCATAGGATACGCGGCGCGCACTCAGCCTAGGCAACAAAGCGCACGCGCTAGGCTGAATTATCAATGCTTGCTCTGCGGTTGGCTAGCTCCGTCATTATCAACGGGAACCACATGACCGTCAGGTGTCCCATAGAGAATTCCAGGGGGCCTTAGATAAACCAAATTGATGGGGGGCCACAGGGCACCATGGTGTGAAATCTGGATTGTGATAACACAAGTAACAAAATGCATCTAAAAAGTTTGCTGACAATTTCTCTCCACGGACTAATCTCTCCTGGTCACTACCGGTCAGTGAGATAAATCATGCGCACGCGCTGCTGTTTATGAATGGGTGAATCCAGTCCGAGCAAACTGTTCATTGCGGATCTGGGACAGCCCCGCCAAACTTGCGCAGATTTCGCCGCGCTGACCTCAGACATCCATATAAATCAGTTTAATGGTCGTTACTGTCGACACAGTTGATGTTCAAAGTGCCCTCCGGCATTTTGCACACAGAGAAGCATTCGTCCGATGGGGTTGGATATCACTTTTTCTAAAGTCGCTACTGCGATCTCGCGTCATTCGTACAAAATGCTCAAGAGA